GTTATGTGTTATACGGTTGTTATCGGTACTACTACCATTTTGTTTTTGTAAAAGTCAAGTCAAAAGTTTGTTTTTTCCATTTTTGAGTGTTGTAGTAATGATGAGTACGCCGACATTATTTTTGTGTAGGGATTTTGTAATGAAAATGCTTTAGGGCTTTTCGGGAGAATCAACGTAGATTTCTTCACAGACGCCTACCTACCCCAAAGGTTTTAACCCGTTCATTTTTAAGACTTCGGCAATATGGAATTGCCAAACTTCCCGGAGATAGAGGCCATGGTGTCCAGCATACTGTTCAAGAGGAATTTGGCATTGGATGATCCTAGTATGTACAAGTACTAGGCGGATTGCAGCCCTGTTACCATGTTCCCGAAATCGTGCGTGGATAATTTTAAATCGAGAAGTTTTACGTCCTTACCATCGGCAAAATGTGCGAAAAAATGCATATTTCATTGATTTGGTTTTGTGGTTAGATAAATCGCTTTTTACGAGGAGTGGAATCTTTAATAATGACCATATGGATGTTGCAATTCGTAACAGAATATCTGTAGTACAAAATAACTCCGTACGATTCATATTTAGTTTAAGAAAATTTGATCATGTTTCGGATCGTTATCCTTTAATAGGTTGGTTAAACATGACAGATTTAGTTAAATACAACTGTCTAACCTTTATACATAAGTTACTTGTCTCTGGAACTCCAATTTATTTACGTGAAAAACTAATTTTTAGGTATAATGTTCATCAACGACATATCCGTAACACATTCGCTTTAACAATGCCACTTCATAGTTCATCTGTTTTTAACAGGTCCTTCCCATATAATGCATGCATGTTGTACAATAGCTTAGATTAAAGAACAAAAAGCATGCCGCTGTATAGTTTTAAAAAACACTCAAGAGCTCTTCTGCTCAATGGTGATTATTAAAGGTGTTTTTCTCCAGCATTATATTTTTAAGCTAATTTTTATTTAGGTTGTAATCAGCTACATGGGCATTTTCCTCCTTTTATTTTCTTTACAGCTGTACATTTTTACCATCTATTATTCTTATGCAGTTAATGGTTAAGTGTAAGAATAGCTGCCATAGCTAAACTTCGCCATTAAGCTGCTCACTAATCTAATTATAGATAATAATATATTATCTGTATATTATCTGTAATTTGTTTTTTCTAATAAAAGACGGTTTATTATTATTATTATTATATTTGGTTGTTAGAAAATCCGTTCTGTAAGAATCCACTCGTTTAAACACAGATTTTCTAGAAATTTCTGGTGCGGCATTTTTAAAAGCCAACTGTTTATGCACGTATTGCCCCAACGTTTAAATGCAAACTCATACTCAGTTTTTCTAGAGAATTACAATGAAAATGTGTAAGATGATGTTCCGTTAACAACGAGAGTACGCACCACGGTGCCCCAACTCATATTCGTCGTGACATAACCTCATGGTTAAATAATAATCATTTTAGACAACACTGAATTGCCAGAAATGGATCCGTACATAAGCCTGCGATGTCGCCTGATTTGATCCCCTGGATTTTTTTTGTGGGGCGCCTATAAGCAACTAGTATATGCTGAACAAATTAATACTGTTGATCAGACACAAGAAAGAATAGATAATGCGTTTCATCAAATTCAAGCCACAGCGAATTTTGCGGAAATACGTATTTATTAAAAACATGCCGCACTTGTATCCGTCAAAATGGCGGTCTTTTTGAAAATTTATTAAAATAAAGCCTTAATTATCTAATTTGCTTTTTTTTCAAAAACAATGCACTCTAGAGAAAAACACAAGCATAATTATTTGTTTCCAATTAAAGATACAATTCGGAAAATTGTGCTATTCGTACTATATTTATTTGGGGAAAATAATGCCACTAATTCCATGTATCTCCGCCACTGGTGCACGTTAATTTTAAGTAAAGACTTTTAAATGTGAATATTACTTAGGTAAATCCACAGAACAAATTTTAGTTCATTCCAGTTGACGGTTTTGAAGAAAATCAGAAAAATTGTTTTTTTATTTTCAAACCTCAACACCCCGTATCTTTTTAATGAAGCCCTCGAGGAAAAAATATTACATGTGTTTGATTTCATTTTTGGTCACGACTTGTGAATCACCCTGTATATTGCATTAAAAAATAACCAGCAAGGGCATTTTGCCAAAAAAATGTCATAAAACGGATAAAACGTCAACTTGTGCACTAGGTAGCAGCTAGTGTGCCGCTAGTTTATTCCGCGGCTACTATATTTAGCAAAGTTTCATTAAACTGAGGCGGGACAGGTATTGCACAAGGATAGTTCCTTCACTAAACTCTCTCATGAGATTTTTAGAATAGCTTCCGTGTTGTCTTGTCTTGGATACAAGATTCGACATTTATCAATGAGTTAGTTGAGTGGAAGTGAATCGTATCGAATTTCTTAAACCTTTTTGACCCAATCAGATAGGCAAAGGTATTCTGTAAATTTGAAGCCTGGATCATTTCATTACACAGTAGTGGTTGCAGATATTCCACGAACTGTGTAATGCCGTGAAAAAGCTTGACATGGTCACGACATAGGGAATTAGGCGCTTCACGGCAACGGCGAACGGTATCCCGAGATCATGTATATGATCCTACTACACATAAGATTTGATAGTCAGCGAAAACTC